AAGTCTCGCAGACGCTATACTAATCCTCCGATTAACTTATTCGAGAATTCGCGCTCTGAAGCCTCCCCTCTCGCAATATTAATAATCCCACCTAATAACGTCCATTCTGAACTTTATTGCATTCGTTATAAAGTTGATATTATTATATCAAAATTACCATTGTAAAACATGTCGTAACCCAATTGATGTAGAGTCGATATTGAAATGACAAGCGTACAAGATTGGCGCGAGACGCCATCCGCGCGCGAAATTCAAATAAGGAACAGTTTAAGACTGTTAAGGGGGAGTTTTAACGAATTACTGTAGAATTAAAGTATGTAAATACGCGGTGTAGATTTTATTGCAAAACAACACTTATTACAACTAAAGCCCGGTCCGTGAGCACGTAGAATTTTGTCCAATGACCCCTAGCTACCCATCCTTATCGCTCGCGCGTAATTATATTGCTGTCGCGACTGTGCGACTGGCACCCGCAGTGAGTGTGCGAGCGCGATAGCAACATAATTACGCGCGAGCGATAAGGATGGGTAGCTTGGGGTCATTACGCAATTTGATTATATAAAATGTCCCAAAGTCTTGTAAAACAGGATACAAATAAAGGGTACGCGTGCGTTTGGGCTGTTCGTTCATTCGTTTCAGCGAAATGACGTCCACTGCTGGACAAAGGCTCCCCAAGGCTACCTGCCTGCATCCAGGTACTTCTCGCGACCTTTACCAGGTCGTCTGTCCACCTAGTGGGGGGCTTGCCTGCCCACACTACGTCTTTCGACCCGTTGTTGCCACTCAAGAACTTCTGCGGCTCGGCTCTGCTTTACGAGCTATGTCCTCTGCCTTAATTTTAGCAATTCGGCGGACTATGTTACTTGTGGTTTTAGACAAACTTGACCTTCATTGGTTGGGTTTTTATGGTAGTCAATACGGATCTCCTTATTTCTGATTCCGATCCTTAGCACCATTGTGTTCCAGATATGAAAAAAGTAGATTATAAGTTATTCCCCTTAACAAGAAAAGCATTATTTGCTCTTAATAATAATCCAATTTACATAATACATTTTGGCAACAATTTCTGTTTAATAAATTGACCTCTTTTTGCCTCCTTCAAGCGATTATTAGACCTATTTTTGGAGTATTTAGAGTTACTTCAATCGTATACTTTGAACATGAGTTTGATTATTTATATTTTTAAAATGCTATTTTTTGTTAATTAAAGAAGAATACCGATAATAATATCATCATCATTTCAGCCACTGAACGTCTATTGCTGAACATAGGCCTCCCCCAATGATTTCCATATCGCCCGGTTGGTAGCGGCCTGCATCCAGCGCCTTCCTGCTACCTTTATGAGGTCATCGGTCCATCTTGTGAGTGGACGTCTTACGTTACTACAATAATTTATTTTTTAATTAAAACACACATCAGGAATATCTGAATATCCCAATGTTATTTTCTAGCCCTTACCTAAGTAACCTTACAATGCAAATAAATTCCAACATCGCCGTTCAGAAAATGTATTCAGTATTAAAATTCCATAAGCGAGTGGAACTAATTCCGAATCTAACTGAATTAGACTTGCGACTGAATAACGTTCGGCATTTCCTGGCCGTGTTATCAGTTTCAGGAGTGATCCAAGTGATGAACTAACATAACTATTTCATGGACTCATTAATGGATTTCTTCCCTTTTTTAATAACTTGAATCGGATTGCCTAAAGTGGGAATCAAACCCACGACCCGTCGTCTTTCGGGCGACTTATCATCTGATCTATTTAGACATTGGTAGAGCTTGTTCAAGGGCTTTTTCACGATTCCAGTTGAAGCTAGCTTCCACTTTTGGCCTCGTCATCACTTTCCATCAGGTGAGATGTCTAACCCTGCCACTTAACCCTACCGCTGCTTCGGGACAATAAATGGGCCAATGCTGAGAAGAAGCAGCGCAAGAAACTCAGTCACTATCGTCAGCCTCATTTTCAAGGGTTTACAGTCTTACAAATATCATCATCATCTCAGCCATAGGACGTCCACTGCTGAACATAGGCCTCCCCCAATGCTTTCCATGTTACCCGGTTAAAAATATGCATAGTTATAAATATTTAGGCGAGCTAGGCAGTTAAACACCCCAAACATTTTTCTACCAAGCTACCTTTATGATCTTAATTTAATTGAATCGCTATATTTCCCATTTTAAACCACCTTCCAATCCGTGTCTTCCGTTCGGTCGTAGTGATGAATATTCATACAAACGCACGGTGGTCCCGCGTCTATGTAACAGCGGTCAAAAGTGGAAAACTTCTTAATAAAATAAAATACTTTGTAAAACATTGTATAATATTATATTATTCTACTGAAATTAAAGTAATACACTCTTTGGGTAAAGAAGACTTCCTTTTTTTAGGCAAATTTCGCAAACCAGTGATATAAGGATCGCTTAACCAGTCAGATTGTCTATTTTTGAAAACTTTTGTAGACTGAGATGCCTTTTTAAAACACTCACATTTTTTTTTGCACATGTTCAACTCTTATTTTCTAAATTCTGCATGTCAATATTTTTCTCATCACTAACTAATGATAACTTTAGATGTTGGTACACAAGACGAGACTTTTCAGCATTCGTGACTTTTTTTAACATTCCATTGCTCAAATACTAACAATCTTGATAACGAGCAATGAATTTCTTAGCTTATAACAGAAAAATCAATTGTTTTGAATTTTAAAACTAAGTTAATAATGCAACTTTGGACCCCTACTGTCAAGACCTTTGGTACTCTTGGGTGAAATTGCATACAAAATATAATAAAGCGTATTGTCAGCTAACTAATGACGTATAAATTGTTACGGGGCACGACGGGGAACTAAACTAAAAGTCTAAAAATATTCAATAAATTATCAATTATTTTCATCATATTTGACATGTTAATACTAGCCATATAACTTTAAAATTTTGACAACAAGTTACACATTACCTTTTTCCAGGATTTCTATTGTTAAATTCACTAGTTTTAAATACAATTTATAAACAAAACTTTATGTAAACAAAGCAATAAACTTAGGACGCGCTGATAGCAACCGTCCTTAGGCTTGCAAGCAATGACTTCTGACTCGTAAAAGTATACCAATTTGTTAAGAAACATGTTGGTACTTTAATATTTTCTAAAACTAGAGGTTTTTAACTATCTATCTGCGTAAATAAAAAAAGATTAATAGACAACTGATTTTTTTGACTTTTGACCTCTGCCGGGCCCACAGTGAAACGTCTTATTAGGTTTGTTTTGTATTACACGAACTTGTTTGCTTGTCAACTCCGCGCGTTCGCCCTTGGAGGGTGATGTGTTGAAGGCTTTACATTCGGCACGGATCAGGTATGTCGGTCAATAGAGCGGGTGGATTCTGAAATAGTTTGCATTTTTGTTTGAGGATGAGAGAAAAATCAATGAGCGATAAAAAACCTGTTATAAAATAATTTCGTTAACGATAACCCGTGATTTTGTATGGAGTTTGTCAGATTTTTGACTTTTGTTAAAGTTACAGTAAAATGGTGCAACTGAGTCTTCAAGTTTAAATAAATCAGTATAGCGTATTCTACTACCAAAAGCGTACTTCCGAAATCAAAATAAATTTTAACCAGGGTTGCACCATCTTACCTACTTTAACAAACGTCAAAAGTCTGTGTAACTCCGTACGAAAACACCGGTTATTGTTAAATTCACGGTTAAAAGCAGATGGTGCAACTCAACGTTAGTATGCCTATTATTATCTTTAAATCATGAATACGGAATGACCACAGGACACCCTGTATTTGCGTCCAGTTAGCCGCTGTCACGGCGTTGGCTTACACGTCATCCGATCGCCATAAATCACGGACGTGACGCTAAATGCAATTACACGTCATGTGTCACGGCGCATAAATCACATTAGCGCACTCCGGAGGTGAGGGTAGGCTGGCATTGGCCTATATGTACTGGGAATAGGTGTCGTCTGTCTCAAATCTAGTTCTAGAGGGATGTTATGGATATGTAGTTTCGGTTATGGATATGGCTACGGATATAGGAATTATGTTATACCGGTTTCGGTTATGGTTACGGATATTTTTTTATTCCGTATATTCGAAAGTTTCGGTTACGGTTACGGATATCTGTGCTTTAGAATGCAATTTGTTCAACACGTTTCATTCATGGCCGCACACTTTACATCGAATAAATAATAATAAAAAAAATAAAATTGATACTAGATGGCATTATAAATGAAAATCAGGCTGCTATGCCTTTACATAATATACATACATATTATAATGCTATACAAAAAAAACAATTTAAACTGCCTACATCCGAAACTATCCGTAACGAATCGGGTACGGTTACGGTTTCGGATATTTTTTTATTTCGGATATCCGAAAGTTTCGGTTACGGTTACGCATATCCATAACATCCCTGTTCTTAACATCGAGAACAGATATTGCTAAGTTTGTGAATGCTGTCACAAGTGAACGAGGGATACAAATGCAACAAGGCACGCTAGGATTGTCAAAATAAAAAATTGGATGTACTAATTAAAGTACATAGTAACTTGCAAATGTGAGTACTAATTCAGCAGCAAGCAGAATTGCTGAAATCAAGTGGCAGTGGGCGGCATATAGCTTGTAGAGCAGATGGCAGTAGAGCAGTTGGGACAGAAAAGTTCTTGAGTGGTGACCACGGGCCGGAAGGCGTAGTGTGGGCAGGCCCCCCACTAGATGTACCGACGATCTGGCGAAGTGCCTGGATGCGGACAACGCAGGACCGGTCCGTGCGGAAATCCTTGGTCCGAGGCTATCGTCCAGCAATGGACGCCATTTGCCTGAAGCGAACGAAGGAACATATAAATTATTCGTCTCTTCTTCTCTTATTCTGTATCGCGATAAGACCGCCTGAATAGTGCCGTCTCTTTTGTGTATTTTTTCTTGTGGTGTACAATAAAATGTGTTTCATCTAAAAACATATTCTAATCTCCCTTTTCTCTTGTTTCCAGAGCAATGGCAACAACTACATGTCGAGCGAGCCGCGGCGCAAGCGCGAGCTGCCAGCGCGACCCAACCACATCCTGCTGTACACCATCATCAACCCGGCATATCCCATCACTGTGGTGAGTACACATCATCTTGACTACGCATTCTTGTTACGCACCTTTCGTTCCCAACTGCAACTCCTGTGTAGCCAGGATCTACAGCTTGACCGCCAGTAAAAACCCAACCAGTGAAGGTCAAGTTTGTCCCGGCTATTTCTAGAAAAGCATATGACGGCAACCCTTCAATGGGATATACGTTTTATGATCCTTGTCCACCCAGACCAATTCGATTTTAAAATTGATTAATCTGACCCATTTCGGCCACGTGGCGACCATTTCCACTCCTGTCTGGGTGCGCCTCTAACTGGTGCAATTTTAAAATAATCAAATTAATACGCGGCTATGGAATTCATCCTTATGCGATCCATCCATATAAACTAGGTACTCAATTGTCGTATTTCTATAGATCATTTTTGGTAAAGTACAAAAATGAGATCAAATAGTGAGCTCGAAGATATTTCTTTCATGCTAAAGAAGTAATTCTCTTACCAATGTTTCTTCTAATTTTATTGATTGCATTTGGCAAAAAAATTATATGCCCTTTCTAGGTTCGAAATCTTGTCATGTTTAAGGTGTTGTCAGCTGAATAGCTCAACTCATGCTATAAGCAGAATTGAATGACACTTCCATAACTCGGAGAAGCACTAGGTGGACAACTCGGCGTTTTAAGTCGAAATATCTCCAAATAAACAAGTAAAGTCCAACTTGTTGCGTCCAATCTCCCCTGCGCATCACGCGTCATTGCGTCTGGAGATTGGTTCCACCAGGACTCGGACTCTTAAGGGACTTTCGTCCTTATTGTATTGAAGTAGTATTGAATGATATTCGTTGAGAACTTCCCAAGATGTTTGATGGCGAAAGTTTGAGGGTAGAATGGTGTGTATTGGACGTGTGATAATATGATTGATGGTACTTACTTATGGAGCAATTCGGTCGCGCCTACTATATTTGGTTTGTCATCTTTTGGGGCCAACCCACATAGTTTGGGTCAAATATTTGGCGTGAAGCGTATAGTAAGTAGGTACTTCAAAGTTTCCATAGGTTAACCAAGATGGGACCATTGGCTAACCAAGAGAATCTTTGAAGTATGCTCAATGATAAAGTTAGCATGGCTACTTCTAGGAAAGTTTAAATTCAATATAAAATGTCAGAGCAATGCATGTTTTATCTACTAAAACACATCCTTAGACATCATCATTATCATCATCATCATCTCGGCCATAGGACGTCAACTGCTAAAAAAAAAGCCCTTTCCCAATACTTTTCATGTTGCCCGGTTGGTAGCGGCCTGCGTCCAGCGCTTTCCTGCTACCTTTATTATATCGTTGGTCCACCTTATTGTGGGACGTCCCACGCTGCGTTTTCCGGTACGTGGCCTCCACTCCAGAACCTTGCTGCCCCATCGGCCGTCAGTTCTGCGTACGATGATGTGCCCTGCCCATTGCCACTTCAGCTTGCTAATCCGTCGGGCTATGGCTTAGAGTCTAAGCCTTAGACATCTTTCAGTGCACCATTTGGTCACAAGCTTAGCAAACTGATATGAAAATACTTAAATACTTTTGTTTCCAATTCATAGAAAACTGAATGTTTGTACTACGGGAATCGAACTCGCGACCCCTAGTAAACCTCAGTACCAATCCTGCTTTGTTTACACATACTGTGTGTTTACATCAACAGGTTGTGATTTGGCAAGCGTCCTGAGTTTGAGCTGTGTTTTGCTTATGAAATTTAGGGGTTGAATTTATATTAGATTCCTGTAATAGAGGCTGCAGACTGTCCCATGGGGTTATGTCCAGTTTTCGGCTCTTGAAGAATATTTGAATTGAACATGAAAATAGCTTAGGATTTCTTGCGTTGCATTCAGGTCAGATCTTCACCAGATCGTTATGTGTGATAAAAGTGTTGATGACGAATGTTTAATGTATAGTTTGTGTTATTGTAATAGATGTGGTCTTAATAAAATGCAGGTGACTGATGTCCTGGGGCTGTCTGCCTACTTTCTCTGAAGGCGTATTTTTGAAGTAATTATTATTATTGACGGGATTGTTACCATGTACCTTAATTTTGAGTTTCCGATATTTCGGCACTGTTGCAAGTTATGTTAGTGACCATGAAAGTTTGAAACAATATATTTTTGAAGTGTTAAAATTACCCTTCGCATACGAAATCTAAACCTATACAGTCAAGGAGTAATTCCCTACCATTCTCTGTAATCCCGAATGCAGCTCTATGGTCTTGAAGGCAAATAGGCATCTTCAAGATCAATCCACCGTAGATTGCATCTGCACTCTTCTTGATAAAAATTGTTATCAAGTCAATGATATTATATAAAAACAAAAGCAGATATGTTATAAGCGTTCGCGCTGTGAATACTCAAATACGTCCCAATTGGGACGTCTTGTGTTTAGTCTTCGTATGGCCTGCGTCGTGCGCAATCGCGTGCGTACCACACCGTAAGTTCCTGTGTTCTTACCAAAATAAATAAAAAATGCCATCGTGTGTGTTTCGAAAGTGTACCAATTATGACTCTAAAGTAAACAAAATACAAGGGATCTCTTACCACATGTGATTATGCAAAATTATTTAGTATTTATATTTTCAATTATTTATGCAAACAATCAAGACGCCATGCGCCATGTTCAAGGAAAGAGAAAGCGATCTTGTTTTGACGTTAGAGCGATAAGGATGCGTGCGCTGCGGACATAGATTAGTTAGTGCAGGCAGAATCGTTAAAACTATAGCTATCTCTTTTATTTGCGTGCTATTTCGTATCTTTTGTTTCACTTATCAGTTACATTTGTCAATGTGTGCAATTTGGAATAGCTCGGCACGGATTAAAATCGTAATTTCTATGAACGTAACATATCTATAGTTCTATAATATCATTGTATCAAGTAGTCTAACTACTACATTAAAACTAGTCCATTACTATAAATGAAATAGAACCGAGTTATAAATTCTCGAGAAGTGTGCACTATTACCTTATCCAAGAAATAAAGCCATATAAAAACTTATGGTGCAATTGAGTCGGCTGACTATCGCTCAGATCATTTTTGTCAAGCACCGAAGTCGGGAAAGCTGAATCGGTCCGCAAGTTGCTGGAAATGCGATAGTGTGGTTGGTGTGCAGTGGGGACACAGGAGCAGCGATTAGCGGTCTGATTAAATTAAGTCAAAAGCAACTGACAAAATGAGGCTTCCGGCGGCTGGGACCGCAATTAACTAAGACCGCGGTCCCAGTCGCCGGATCCGTAAAAATTGAATAATTTTCTTCCGGCGACTGTGACCACTTATAGGTAACTTAAGAAAATATTATTCAAGTCAAAATCGGTACAGTACTAAAATTCATGAGTCCCAGTCGCCGGAAGAAAATTATTTAATTTTGAGGGATCCGGCGATTGGGACCGCGGTCCTAGTTAATTGCGGTCCCAGTCGACGGAATCCTCACAAAATGCTGTTGAGAAAGTCTGGTGTTTTGTTATCCAGGGCCCCAATTGAGGATTCCGTCAACTGGGACCGCGGTCCCAGTCGCCGGATGCGTAAAAATTAAATAATTTTCTTCCGGCGACTGGGACCACTCATGGATTTTAGTACTGTACCGATTTTGGATTGAATAATATTTTCTTTAAAGTTATCTATGAGTGGTCCCAGTCGCCGGAAGAAAATTTATTTAATTTTNTAAATAATTTTCTTCCGGCGACTGGGACCACTCATGGATTTTAGTACTGTACCGATTTTGGATTGAATAATATTTTCTTTAAAGTTATCTATGAGTGGTCCCAGTCGCCGGAAGAAAATTTATTTAATTTTTACGCATCCGGCGACTGGGACCGCGGTCCCAGTTAATTGCGGTCCCAGTCGCCGGAAGCCTCCCCCAATTGCGCTAATTTGTAATGTCGCCAATTCATTCGCGTTTCATCTCTAGTCTACACTTCAGTTACGCATTTTTTTAATTCCAGCTGAAGTGCAATTTGGTATTGCAGTGAAGTTTACGCCGAAAAAACGGATTTATGCACTTTCCATTAAAGGTCCATTAAAGCGACACAGCGATACGAATTTGTACAAACAGCTGAATTTCGTGCGTCGTCCAGTCGCGTTGCAGTTGAAAATATTTAGCGCAATCGGGGCACAGTGTTAGTCCGTACAACTACTATTTTTCGCATCATAATCTAACCGCTCCGCTCCCCGCTCGGCCTCTGAACGTGCACCGACACCGACCAAACTTTTATTGCCGACTCGGCCAAGTTTCATAGCGCGTGAAATTCGTGATGTACGGACGCCCCCTATGCGAAGTTCGAATTGTTTTCGACTGTACTGTATTCGAAGTCTAACTTTGGACAGTCTGCCGGCATGAGGGGAATACCCGGATTGATGGAACGGGGTAGTCTGGGAATTTGACTCAGACAGGGATAGAACGTGGAATTTTGTTGAGATAAAGTGGCATATAATAGAGTGTTAGGTACTATAAAACTTTTATGTGCATTTAAGTTTAAAATAAATAAATAACTTCGTACAGCTTCTGTTCAGAAATAAAGTAGGATTCTAATAAATGGTGAAAGAAAGTCTTCAATTGGTCCAGTAATTTCTTTATAATATTAGTGTCGATACTGCAATTATACAAATTTTTCATACATAGAACGATCTCAGTCTAGGAATTAGACTAAGACAGTGTTATTATAGCTAAGAATTTCGTTGAGATCAAGTGGAATACGTGTGTGAATAGAGGTAGGGGTACATAGATAGAACTGTAGTAACAATTACAAGATACGCTGCTTCTGACTTCTCATGCGTCCATTACATTTTAATAATTTGTTAATTTCCCATAGAAGATTTAGAATTTAGGACAAGAAACGTTTATGGGACTAGGATAAAAGTTACACTTCAATTCAATATTTACTAATCGCTTAAAAAAACAACTCAGAAAAATATAGGGAGGGAATTAATTTCAATCAGGGTTCCTTTTAATTTCCTTATTTATTTATTTATTTATTTATATTAGGGAAACAAACAATTTTGATATACAGACAAATAATCACACAAAAAATAGGACAGAAATCAGCAAAGTTTCCACAGTTAAAATTAATACAGAGTGCAGACTAAAAATTAATTAAATAGTAATAAATTATACATTAATTTCTAAATGTCAAATAAATACAATGTCAATTTTATAAAATGTCAAGCAGTTAAATTTAATAAAAATTATAAAATGTCAAAAAGTTAAATATTAATAAAATTATATAAATTAAAAACACAATAATTATGTAGGTCAAAATTAAAATCAAGTTATGTATTCAAACATTCTCTCAATTGTTTTTTATAAGATGGTAAGGAAGAATTAAAAATGTCAATCGTGTTAAACCTATTATTATATTCCTTACAAGATCTAGGTACAAAATTGTTGCTAGCATAATTAGTCCTAGTGAGAGAAATAGAAAAAAGTTTTGTAGAACGCGAACTCGTCCGAGGGCACCTAAAACTAATATTACTTAACAAAAAAGAGGAGTCAACATGGTTATTTAAAACTTTGTAGAGAAAGACTTGGTCTTTCTCAATGCGACGGTCTAAAAGAGATGGTACATTAGGAAGTGTTCCGCCAAACTTATCAGCTTTGTAACGTAAGTGTTTTTCAAACTTTTTGTTAATTTTTTCTATTGAGTCAATGTATATTTTGTATTGTGGGTTCCAGACAGATGATGCATACTCCAGAATGGACCTTACGTACGAGTTGTAAAGTAATGAAACTGTAGAACATAGTTTAAAATCTCTTCCCGTTCTTAAAACGAATCCCAGCATTCGGTAAGCCTTAGCAGTCATGATGTCTATGTGTGTTTTAAATGTCAATTTGGAATCTAAATGAACTCCCAGATCTCTCACCTCTGTCACTCTTTGAAGAACTATGTTATTTAGGTGNTTTATTTAATGGCCTTACATTCAGCCACACCCTGTATAAAAACGTACAATATCATCCTGTTGGTTTAATAACGGGAAAGCACTTAGCTGTGTCATCGTAGAAATAATCTGTCCGTTTCAAAGATTTACTTTTGCACTGTTTCAAACTTAGAGGAAAGTTATCCGCTTTGGTAGGGTGACCATGTTTGTGTTAGACGCTTAGGACTGCAGGCTTACGGGATTATTATTATAATCCAGTAAGTCAAATAAATTTTAAAATAGGAAATTAAAAAAATAGGAAGATAAACTGTTATTATTAACTAAACACAGTTTATCTTATGTAGCTAAAATTAGTTTTAATTTGCAATACAAATGTATAGTCTGTGTGTGTCGATGTGTATTGTGATTGTGAAAGTAGATAAAATAAAAATAAAAATAATTTTTATTTCTTTTAGCAATGACTGTATTATAAATTATTATTGATATTAAGTAAAAAGGAAATGTGATTCCTTCATTCATGACACAATGAGCCAGATTTACCTATGTCAGTGTTTAAAAAAGGTAGTAATAAAATCCATTACAACACAAGCCTAAGGCTTCCCACTAGATAAAGCGACGATCTGGTAAAGGACCCCGTAAGCACATGGATGCGGATAACGCAGGACCGGCCGTTGTGGAAATCCTTGGTAGCCTTTGTGCTTAATCTATACTATACTTACTAATATTATAAATGCGAAAGTAACTCTGTCTGTCTTGCTTTCACGCCTAAATCACTGATCCGATTTTGATGAAATTTGGCATAGAGATAGTTTGAGTCCCAGGAAAGGACATAGGATAGTTTTTATCCCGGTTAATGAAACAGGGACGCGCGCGATATAAAGTTTTTCTGTGACAGACAAAACTCCACGCGGGCGAAGCCGCGTTCGGAAAGCTAGTATCCTAATACGTGAAATACTTGAAGTATAAATAAATTAGGAAGTCCTTAATTTATATCAAAAGAACCTGAACCATGGTCACCCTACCGAACAGTGGATCGCAAGTTGCCATCTTGCGATACGGCACGCGTGCGCATTTCTATTTAAACACGCATTACCGGTTATGTGAGTTCTTTCGCTTTTATACGACGAGCTTATTGAAATGGCGATAAAATTAGCTTTTAAAGCTGTTTGAAGAGCTTTCGGCTTTACGACAGTTTGGGATCAATTAACTTTGTGAATATGTTTTTATGAAGTTATCTCTGGAACTACTAAAATGATTTTGAAAATTATTTCTCCATTATAACGCTTAATTCTTCCTGAATGAACCTTTCTGTAGCAGACCGAAATTAACTGGGCAAAACCGTGGGAAAAAGCCAGTTATTAAATAAAGCCACCTTTATTTATGTTAGAAAGACTGAACTTTAATAAGGCATGTATTTAAATGATCTTTTTAAATTAGCAAAAACTGCAAATAAAAAAATCTAAATGGTCATCTATTTTAATGATTGATCCTCTTTCTTTGAAACATAAAATAAATGAAATCGATCGATATTTTAATCTCTTTTGAACTACGCAAAAAAATATTGAGATGTAAAAATTATATCTGATCGTTACTTGTTGGTCCTCAAAAATAAAAGAAATGAGCACCAAATATTCAATATTGTGATACTTTTTTAAATAATTCGATTTGTATAAATTATTTTTTGTCTATATCAAATAATCTTCAAAATAATTATGTTATGGTACTTATTTTTATTAAGTTGTAGTCAAAGGATGGAAACTATTTAAAGGCACTTGATGTTCAAAGATTTATTTTTTATTAAAAAAGCATACTTAACACGTTCACACTGCGTTATCGGGTCGAATTGACCTTAGGTGCTGGATGCGTTGGTGCGGGATGGATATATTCGGTATTTTCAGTAGTACGAAAGATACATATTGATTTGCAATTGTTACGTCAAACACAGTAAACATTTGGAAAAAAAAACTTATCAGGTCCTTACGACCCGATGTCGCACTAAAAGTAAACAAATATCGTTTAGTGCTTTTATCGTGTCTAATCGACCCGTTGACAGATGACTTTATGGTCACTGATCACGGTCGAGATCGGTATACTAAGAGAAAATCAACCTTGCGATTTGAAAAAAAAAAAAAGGTAAAAATTATGATGTCGGGTTCAGGGATGTCAGAAGTAAGAAATTATTTTACATAGCGCCTCTAGTCCCAAACTAAGCAAAGCTTGTAATTTAAACAAACAGGGCAATGTACCATTCTGCTTGCTTATTGGCCGCTAAGCCCTTGGCCAACTCAGTAACCAATGACGGACGATTGTCACTCAACCACAAAGTACCGCGTAAATTAAAAGATATTTTTTAATTAAAAATATTAACCAATAATATTTTTTGTTAGATCAAATATATTTTAAAGTTAAGTTATACATAGATCGAAATGTATTTATTAGGTGATCAATATTAAAAGGCAAACTTGATATAAAAATCATCAAATTAACAAAATTAAAGATCAATAACTAAAAAAGAGGATCAAATATTATTTTTGTTTACCAAATATTAAAAGAGTATGTTAAACATAAATATTATGTTACCTTTAATGAAGATCATTCATAATTTATCCGTAGATCAACTAATATAGACCCAATAATTAATATAAAGATAAAATATAATAAAATACATCATTTATTTTTAAAAGTGCACATACAAAAAAGATCAATTAGTTTTTAGAGGATCAAATAATATTGTCCCCTTTAATAATTCTTTGAATCCATCGAAGTATATCAATTTTGTCGATATCAATTTTATTATTATGAATTTGGCAGTACCTATATCAGCTTACAGCTATAACTTTACCATCATAAAACTTCATATTCATATCTAATACAGCAGCCAATTTCACTGAAATATTCAAGATTACCATAAAGCCGTATCTGATGCTTTAAATAGCGATCCTAATAAGGCTTTTCCCAAAATAGCCGAGTTTCAGCGTTTGCCAAATGCTTGTATAAACAATAATGGACTTAGAAGCAGTAGGCTTGCTTTAAACTCTACATTGGATCCTTAACTTCGATCTCCTCTTATGTCCTTCTCATTGATTTCGTTGTGGAACCAATGGCAGTTTAACTTACCCCCGGGATAACTTGACCTTTACTGGTTGGGTTTTTATTGGCGGTCAAGCTGTAGATCCTGGCTACACCACAGCGGAAGGAACAAGAGGTGTCCCGTATTCTACATTGGATCGTTTTAGGTCCAAAATTCACCAATTTGAAAAGTCAAAATGTTATAAAGGTTCTGGAGTGTAGGCCTCGTACAAGCAAGCGTAGCTACTACCTGCTATATGAAGTCGTCTGTCAACGTGTTCAAGTGCCTTCATGCAGGCCACTACCACCAGGCCAATCTGGAAATCATTGTGGGAGGCCTATGTTCAGCTGTGGACGTCCTGTGGCTGAAATTATGATAATCAATCATCCTAGAGAACCCAACCGTTCTCTATCGTTCAATCTCTCGTTGTTACCTATTTGTTACTGTTTATTACTGTTAATTAAGACAATATAATACTGTTTACGCAATATTTTAACCATGCTGTGTGTACACGTTATTTGAGTGATGATCTAGATCTAAGCATAAGTTAATTTCTTTATACAGTGTGAGTCACGTTAAAGATCATTGCAAACGTTGTGATAGGGATAGAGACATGCGATTTTTGGTTTTACGAAGGTAATACTAGGGCACTATTTAAGTTGTGAGCCTCGACAACATAACGTGTTGTTAGACAACATCTGATACTTTTAATGAAAAGTTTGACATTTTTGACTACAACCTTATTCAAAACTTTTTATCATTTGAGCACGTTTTGTACTATTAACATTGAATTGAAAATTATCTTGACTACAAAAACATGGAATTGACTTGCGGAAATTTTCGCGCGAAGATTTATTATGACTTTCGACGTGGTTAATCAATACGAAACTGAAGCGGTCAGCTAAATTTCACTTTTGATGATAAAGATCTGTTCTTTACCATTGTAAAACGCTAGTTTAAGAAGTATAATATTGTATGTCATTGGCTCACCAGTGAACTTTGCGAAAGTCGTCCAAAATGACTAATAGTGGCGGAAAACATTGATGTTGTCAGAAAAATGGAAGAGAAACCTCGTCATGTGATATATCGTATGATTGAGATAATCCTAGGCATTAATTCCACTAGCAGTAATAATCTATTGTATGACCATATTATGGTTAATACGTTTTTTTCTCGCTGGATGTCACAAAATTTTTCAAACGCTCAATAGGACGCTTGTGTCGTTTAGTCCTTGGAAATGTTTGATAAATACGTTTAAAAAGCTTTAAAAGCCGTTTTTAAAATTGTAACAGTTGACGAATTAAGGATCTATGCATAATGATTCTGAATATAAACAGCTATCGATTATGGAGGTGTTTTAAGATGAACCAATTCCAACAAAAGCCCCATGCGCTCGGAACACTTTGAAACTTACGGTCGCCTATTTTTCCGAAATATCCGATTATATGACAGAAATGTCACTAGAGAAATTTAGAATGGTTAATTCTTAATAGTAAACAGCCACTTTTTTTCCAAAAGTCTTCAGTATAATAAGGGAAACTGACCAGCATAGTCGAATCGCCATTCGTGACAAAAATGTGAGCTTTTACACGTCTCGTCAAACAACTGACTATTTGAACACTTAAAATATGAAATAAACAGGTCCAACGCTACAAAATTCTTGCTTGGAATCTAAACACTTCTTTTGGTACCCAAATATTAAAATTAAATGCGTGAACAGCGATTTATGTAGCCAGAAGCAACTGTCGGTGCGGTCAAAAACCATGCTTTGG